CAGATGGCTAAACACAAATATTTCTGTGAAACCTCTGCTACAAAAACAAAACAAAACAAACAAACAAAACAAAAAAACAAACAAAAAAAAAACAAACAAAACAAACAAACAAACAAAAAAAAACACACACACACAAACAAGGTCTCCAACACCATAATTTCTCAGAAAGCAAACAAAAAACTGAGTATGGTCTGTCTTGTGCCAATGCACTACTTCTGCATTTACTCTTGGCCTAAACCCAGGAGTAAGGTAAGTAGGTAAATAAGTAGGTAAGGAGTAGCTATGCAAGGGGATAAAAAAAGGCAGCACTGGAGAAGTTGTCCCTGCTTCATTTTCCAGCAGGAGCCGGGTGAACCAAAAGGAGCCCTTGTTTCACAGAACCACATTTGTTCCACCTTTCTTGGGAGTCACAGTAAAACTCCCACTTGTCCAGAGGACACAAACCTGGAGGCTGGTGACATTTCTTGGTAAGTAATAAATCTGCCAGGACCTAAATTTGTTTGACATATATTTCATGTCAAATTTGAAAAGCAGTTTGCACAAAAAGAATGGAAATAGGTGGAGGTTGAGGGGGAACAGAGTATCTTTCCAGCGTTTTCAGAATAAAAAAGTTTAACTTCTCTCCTCAAATGTGATTTTTTTAATTAAGATACGGGGATATATTTTAAGAAAAAATCAGCCTGAAATAACTCCCAAATTAACCCTTGATGAAATATAAAAGGAATGAGAGAGTTTTTTTCCAGAAACAATGAGTAACAAAAACAAAGCATATGAAAAGGTGCTATCCCCCCTACACAAAAAAAAAAAAAAAGTTTTGTGCCCTGTTCAGCCATCCAAATCTTTTTTCCTGCTTTCCAGTACTGCTACCAAACTGAAACACCCAATATTTTTGCTGTTCTGCTCGAAACTGCTCCTAAGATCCCAGTTTCACTGCAGACCTTCTGATCACCTCAGAGTCTTTCTCCCCCTCACTAGTGTAGGTTTTCATGCTCTCCCTCCCCTCCAAACAGGCCAAGGTGACTGCCTTCTTCACTGGAACAATTGTCTTGCCATCCCATACTCGTCACTTTTGGCCATGAGTCCCTCCTGCCACCAGTGCCTGGAGAGCATCTCGGCTACCTGCAGCCAAGATGAGGGCACCTTTCTCAGCTGAGCCAGATGTTGTCCCACAGGCCCTCTCCTCCTATGCAAGCACAGGCATTTGCACTGAAATTCTTTCCCATGACAATTAGCAATTAGGAATACTTCCCCCTGTTTTCAAGCCAACAGAGTTACAATAACAAGGAATATCCACGTTTTCCCCTAAACACAGCTGTACCAGAGCTGCAGGGGACCTGGGGCCAGAGAGAGGGAGGCTGGTTCACAGTCAGTCCAGGTTTGTAGAGTGGGCAACTGCAGCTACATATGCTGAACTAGAAGCAGCAGCTGCTTTTAGTGCTGCAAAATATCTACCTGTATGCCAAATCTGCAAGATAGTTCCATTATCCTGCACACAGATGAGCTTTCCAGCAGGTTCCAGACCCTCTCCTCTAATACCATTTGTCCCAGAGGTTGACCCATCTTGGTCTCTGAGTAATAAGGGCTTTCTTACAGTTCTGTTGTCTCATCTCTCAACCTTCCTAGAGCAGTTATCAGCCAAAACACCAGTTGTGATCTCCTCCCCAGTTTGCTGCTCCACTGGAAGAGACCAAATCCTGAGAGGGGCCCCCAGAAACAGACCCTCTTTCTTTAAGAGTCAATAACAAATTCAGGATGCTGAGCAATTAGATTGAATGTAAAAGTGCAACCATAGGTAAGTTTATACTTAGTTGCTTTACAGCAAGCTAATACAATTGTTTTTATGACATCTGTCTTTACAGCTCTGTACATCCAAAGGTGGAGAAATGTGACAGGATCCTACTCCAGTCTGGGGCGGGGGTGGGATGGGGACGCAGCATTTATAGGTGGAAAATGTCTATTTTGCAATTTCAAGGACTTTTCCAATGGTGAGAATATCATTGAGTGTCATGGGAAAGACAGTACCTTGTCCCATGCTGGTTTGTCAGCCACCTGGTTTTCTAGAGATCTGGAGAGAGAAATGTACCTTCTGTAGTGGTAACATACTTTGTGCAGAGGTAGTGTGTAACCTCTGATGGACTGTCCTATCATAATATTTCCCAAGCACAGCCTTGTTGGCCTCTGAATCACAGCCATAGATATTCTAGAGCAGTTTAATTTTTTTTTTTAAAAAAAAAAAAAACAACTAAACAGTTATTCAATAGATATCTAAATGAACAAAAGTACCCTTTTCACTTAGACTAATTAGCATACAAATTGCAATTGAACCGGATACCATAGGCATAAATGATGCAAAGATATCATCTGAGCTCAAGAAGAAATTTTCCATGCAAAACCCATGACTTCTTTCTCAAAGCACTACTGCAGAATAGGCTGTTCAATCAGATGCACCATTAGTGTTTACTAACCCGTGCTGTTCTGACTTGCTTTGGTGACTCCAGTGCCTGTCACCAAAAAATTGGAGAAGGAGACTGCAGGATCTGCTAAAAACCATCCCAGGTTCAAGAAAAACTCAGTTTCATTTTCTTTAACCATCCTTTTATCCAACCCCCATTTGGTTCAGAGGAGCATTGTGTTGACACCTGCTTGGTTTGAATAAAATCTAGCAACAGTACAAGGGATAGGAATTTGGTAGTCCTGGGATGAACTACAGCTGAATCACCCATGCATTGGCAGAAGCTCACAGCACCATGGAAAAGAAAGGCCTTTGAGGCATGGTCTGCAGATAAGGGAAGTTTAAAGTAGTGGGAACATGCAAGTCCCAAAGTGCTATTTCAAGGTGTGTCTAGAGAACAAGAACAAAAGTTACTGAGGTATTTGTCATGTAATTTATTATTCCTCCTTTTCTTTCATAAAGTTAGATTTTGATTCACCAAGAAAAGTTAGTGACAGTCAATTGTTCCGTTTCTCTTTCCTAGGTTTAGTTTATTGTTACGAGAAAGCTTATTTTTACACCATGTAACAATCTTACTGAAGTGCTCTTGGAAAAAGAAAGTCATGCACGAAACAAAAGAGAAGGGGAACAAACTTCCTGGGGACGAGTTTCCCTAGCAGTAGGTTAACCACTGGGAGAACTGTTCCTGGAAAAGAAGTAGCAATGTCTTTCTAGGGCGTATCTGGCCTTAGCAAGGATGCTAACATCATCAAAGCCTTTCCTTCTCTGTAACAAGGGCCTCAGAGAGGTGAGGATGACAGAGAGAGTAGGAAAAGGAAATTATGTAGAAGGAGGCTGCTGATGGCTTTCTGACCACTCACAGCATTTGATGGTTCTAGAAGACTACCTGCTTCACAAAATACTCAAGAGCCCTAAGGAGTTACTAAAGTTCAACTTGGTATCCAAACTTAGGAAAGCTGCTTTGAGAAACAGTACCTGCTGGGGAGCTAGATCCATGCCTCCGTTTTTATTCCTCCTGGTTTTGGCAGGAGCTAGCTTGCTGGAGGAGAGAATAAGGGAGTGTCTGTGGTGGCACACAAGACATAGGAGAAATGAGTCCAGACACACACATATGTCTTGTCATGCCTACAGACCTAGGACAACTCATGTATACTGTGAACTTACCACCACCATTCTTGTAGCAGAGGTATGGGAACCTCCACACGTTGCCCAGACCAATGATCTCTCCTGCCATAGAGAGCACAAACTCCATTTTGGTACTCCACTGGCCTCTCTCTTCCATCTCCTCCTTTTTAATCTCTTCAGGAGCTGCAATGGCCCCATTGAACTCTCGTTCCTTAGCCACATCTCTTGTCATGGCTCTGTGGGACAGAGGAAAAAGAAAGCATGGAATGTAGGGAGCTGCTGTGGGACATGCTGATGGGAAGACAAGGGAGGGGACCAGTCAACACAATAGATATGTTCCTAGTATCACCATGAGGTTCCCTCATCCTCTAGACAATGGCTTTTTTAGCATCAGCATGAAGCATTTCTCCAAGTTATGTCTGCGGGACAGAATGTCTGTGCTGAAGGGCTAAAAGAAAGGTCATTGGTCAGGTGAGATGGGCCCACCTGCACCAATATTTCACTGGACTCACTCCTGAATTACCACAGTTCCCTTCCTCAGCCTTCCAGACCACCAGCCTTGGTGTACCTCCATCTGCCCCTCTTCACCCTGACTAAATGCTCTGCATCTCCAACATTGCTGGAAGCTTGGCTGGACTTTGGAAACAGCAGAGGAAGAGAAAAGGGGCTGGAGCTGAAGCAGGGCATGGGGACAGAAGGAGTTTCCTTTCCCTATGTGCTTTATACAGCAACTGCCTCCTTCTGGAGTGGTTTCAGAGAGGAGGATAGAAAAGTTTCAGATTAATAGTCTAAATAAAAATTGACAACCCATGATCTTACTTCAAGGTATTGCCAGGAGTACGGTCTTTGACCCCCTGCACACCATGTTACTCTACCATACAGCCTGCCACCTCAGCAAAACACACACACACTCTTATTTGACCCAGGCTCCTTTCAGAAACAGGCACCAGCACCAACCCTCCACCCTTGCCCAACCATGCAAAAAATAGAGAGCAAGGAATTAAAGCCTCTGAGATGAGCAAAAGGGCCTCATTCTGGGGAGGTGTTTCAAGATATTAGACAAGCTCAGCTATTGCAGTGGAAATGTCAGTAGGGAAAATCCTAGCCATGGAAATACAGAGCGAAGTCACTGTTGGAGGAGATACATTGAATGTGTCAGGGACTGCAGAATGGTCCAAGGAAGACATACTCCAGTCTATACTAAATTCTGAATTATGCTTAAGGTCATCTTAATTAAGCAAAGTTAGTGGCTGCTTGTTATAAGATTCAATTTTTCTATGATTATGTGCAGTTCTGGGCTCCCCATTTCAAGAGGGACAGGGATCTACTCGAGAGAGTCCAGCGAAGGGCTACGAGGATGATTGGTGGACTGGAACACCTGCCTTATGAGGAGAGGCTGAGAGACCTGGGGCTTTTTAGTCTGGAGAAGAGAAGACTGAAGGGCGATCTAATTAATGTGCATAAATATATGCCGGCTGGGTGTCAGGAAGGAAAGGGCAATCTCTTCTCACTTATGCCCTGCAATAGGACATGTGGCAATGGTCACAAGCTGGAGCACAGGAAGTTCAACCTCAACATGAGGAAGAACTTCTTTACTGCAAGGGTTCCAGAGCACTGGAACAGGCTCCCCAGGGAGCTTGTGGAGTCTCCTGCCTTGGAGACTTTTAAGACCTGTCTGGATGCATTCCTGGACCTGCCCTAGACTAGGTGGTCCTGCTCTGGCAGAGGGGTTGGACTCAATGATCTCCAGAGGTCACTTCCAACCCCTAACATTCTGTGATTCTGTAATACATGAAGTTCTTTAATTTAAATCTAAGCTAATATAAATCCAGCCAAAATTCAGACAAGCCAGACTGAATCTTTGACTTGTGAATAGGCCAGCATGAAGGACAGGAGCTGGGATGCTGCAACAGAGAACAATGCTAGGATACAGACCAGCTGGGGAGATGCAGCACTGGTGGCTTCATTTTCCAATTTCAAAAAGCAGGAAAGCACCCTGGTTATGGAATGAAACTTTTTCAAGTAGGAACACGAGTAGGTTAAATCAGCATTCAAAGTTTTGGCCCTTAGTGACTCAAGCTTCAGCTTCTCCCTTCCCAGACAAAGTGATGCACAGCATTACACATCTCCACTACTTCCCTCTCTGTTTTGCCTGCTGTTTTTATGAGAAAGCCCATTCGCACACCTCCTGGCTCTTTTCCTGAATATCTAAACCTACTGTGCCCCTGCCCTCTATGTTCTTAGGCCAGATGGGGACTCAAATAACTTCTTGTTTCCAGCTAGGAACAACTTGGCTCTCCCACAGCAGCCACCCACTGTGTTACATCCTCCCCAACAGACAGACATTTTCTTCTCCCTTTGGAGGCCTCTCTCCTTAACACACAAGTTCAGAGGAAAGACTTTGCCCGTCACTGACTGCCTGCATTTTTTCTGCCGTTCCCTTACCAAAGTCTGGAGAAAATTCCTCTGAATCCTTTGTTCCCAGCCTCCTTTTTCCTTCTGCCATGAAGTTTTTCCAGCTGTGAAGATGCTACCTAACAGATTCTACAGTCTACACCTGTCCTGGACCCACTCAGCCACCACCTTCCCCTCTCAGCTGCCTCTGACCTCAACAGTCTCTTCTAGAGGTGCTCTGCTCTATTTTCAACTCTCAACACTTTGAGGAATTGCCTTTTTTCAGGCCTGAAGAATTCTTTGCAGACGTGACCTCCCACTTGTCATCTTCCCACAAAGAAGAGGGGTCTTCCTCTGCCCAGTGGTACAGGCAGTTCTGTATGAAATGATACTGGACTTGATACTGAGCTTGTTGCATGGAGGCAACCACATTTTCCCCCATGAGATTTATTGCTGAGAAAATAAGGATACACATGGATTCCCCCAAGCATTGGAAAAAGAGCACTCAGTATGCAGGCAGCCTTAAAGACAGAACACACCGACAAATTCCCTTCTTCAATATTTCAATGAGGTAGCCCAAACTCCCCTTGGTCACAAATTTTTGGCTGTGTTTGCTCTGCACCTACCACCATGGGATCCTTCAAGCATGGTCACAAAAGGCAAGGAAAGCCAAGGACACCTCTGAAGTACTGTGGACACTCACCAATGGGTTTGATGTGCCAAATGCACAACACAGGGATGCAGGAGAACAGCATCTGTTGCCTTTATTTTGGAACAAGTTGCAACTAAGAGAGGGACGTGAGAACTAGAAAAAGAGGAGAATGAAAATGTTCTTTGTAAGCAAAATATGGTGGTATCCTCAGCCTTTTCCAGGGCAAAAAGTGCTTATTCAGGGCTGCTCAGGTGAAACAAGGAACAAAAGAGATTAAAGAGAAAAGCCACCTGGGGTTTTGGCACCAGAAGCGGCCATTAGAGAACCTCCTAAAGCTTTTCTTCCTGCAAATTCACTGCCTGTTCTTGACTGCCACCACACAAGAGCTCCTACTGCTGGGAAGTTAGCATTCTCTGTTTGCTGCTTTCTCTTCTGCTGCTTTATCTTAAGGCAAATAAGAGAAAAACAATCTCAAGAGCTAACAGCAAAACAGAGTGAACACTGAACAGAGATGTTGTTAAAAAGCTGCTGGTAACACTTACTAGAGGAAGCCACTGTTTTAAAGCACTTGGACACTCGTAGGTGCTGCCTGAGCTGCAGAAGGCAGAATTGGAGGTGATGCTGCAGACAGATGCTCTGCATTTACATTTTTTTTGTTTCAGAGTGAAACATGCAACAACTAAGCACATAAACTGCACTTTAAGGTGGAGAGGGAGGAATTAGAAGGCAAGCAGGCAGGGCTGTGTTACAAAAGGAGGAGCAGGAGGACACAGAAAATTCTCTGGTTGCACAATACGAGCCAGCAGTTAGTTGGCAGCTGAAATCTTGTGTTGCATTTCATTGCAGGAGGCAGGGGCAGCTGCAGGAGCAGAGACAGAAAATCAGGGCTTAGTGGGAACAGCAGTGCCAAGGTACAGCTTCAGGAACAAACCCAGTTAGATTACTGCATGGGTGCTGCTACTGGAGTAGATTATATCTGCAAGAAGGACAGGAAAATATTAGCTGTAGAAGTAACTGCTGTCCAGCCAATCTAGGAGCAGCTACGTGAACAGGGATGGCTGCTCCAACCATGGCTGTTTCCCAGCTCAAATGCTGCTGGAGAATGGTTCACTCCAGCTGCAAAAAGGAGAAAAGCAAGGAAAGGTGTAGCAAGAGAAAAACTGATCAACTCCAGGACAGCAGTCGAAATCAGAATGCCTTTCATTTCAAGCTGTTGAAAGCTAGTTGGCTTCCTTACACCTTTTAATTAACTTCCAGGTTGCATGGGCTGCAGGGCATTCTCAAAGCATCTGCTCAGCAAGGTTCGTGGAGCACAAGAGGCTGTCACAAAGGATCAAATCTTGCTTACATTTTCTCCAGTGTGAAGTAAGAGTAATACTTCTGCAAGCAGTGAGTTTGCTGCTTACTGAAACCAGCAGGAGTGAGATAAGAAGCAACTATGAGTTGCTAATGACACATACACCTGTGATACAAGCTATGAAGATTGTAGGTCTTCATCCCTCAAAGCACACACCCCCAGCTCAGGAGGGGACCAAAGGGCTGCTGTCCTGTCCTCTGCTGCCAGGACAGGAAAGCCCCCCAAGTACCTAACAGCGCGTGGGCTTTCCTGAGGATCAGTGGCAAACCCCTTACTACAGGCAGTGTAGGTGGTTGTTCTCACTGCTGGTTCACTCTGTCCGTGTCCATTGACTCACCACCCCTGCTCTGGGCTACAGTGACACAGAGCTTACTTTCTTACTTTCTAGAAAAAAAAATCAAGATTAACTGACGAAGTCCACAAATAGGGTATAAATATGATCAGAAACCAGCTTTTGCCTTGGCATCAAACCAGATACTCTCACGACCTCCACTCAGCCCACAGTCCAGTTGTATCCAGATAGCAGGAGGCCCAGTAGCATGCAACCACAGCAGGATACATCCTTCTTACAGAGCTCCACAGTGACAGGTCTCCTACAGACACAGAGCCAGGCTGGCCCCAGTGGAGCCCTAGAGCCACCCACCTGGTGGCCAGAGATGTCTGGCCAAAGCCCTGTAGGACAGGAAAGCCCCCCCAAGAGTCAGGCTTGCTGAGAGGTCCTTGTGCCCGGCTGGAGAGTGGGGACAGCATGGCTCCCATCACTGGCTGGAGGAGCAGAGCAGGTGAATGGCACAGAGGGTGAAAGCCACGCTGCTCCAGCACCTGCTCTGCAAACAGCCACAGCTGGGCACGGAGGGGCACTGACCTAGCGTGCAGCCTGGAGATGCCCCAGAGAGACGGGACAGAGTCCACAAGAGGGGACGTGGTGGTCACAGGGCTGCCACCTTACTGGGGCAGCAAATTTGTGAAGCAAAGCATGCCACCCAGCAGTCCTGGGTGAGTCAGGTGAAGAGAGGGAGGTTGCCAGCCCCAGTGCTGTGGCTGGGCCACCTGTTGCTGACCCAGGTCAGCTGGAGGGTGGAGGCCAAGGAGTTAGGGAAGGGTGGGCAGCAAAGCAGCTACCCTCTACAAGGTGCATGCGGGCCCACACAAAAATCCCAACCTCTACAGTGCCTAGAATTTGAACCTTGCAGTCACTTCCCTGGGGCTGCTGCTCTGGAGCAGGGGAGTAGACGAGCCAGCACTGCTGGTAGCTGGTCTCCAAAAGTCTGTGGTTTGGAGGCAGCACAGGGGACTTGGCATCACACTCATCTAGGTGCTTCTAGCTAGAAGTCCCCAAGGCAGGCACACCCCGCCTAGCCTCAGAAAGCACAGCCCGGGGCACTCGCTGCCAGGATGATGAGAAACCCTGGGAGCACAGAAGAAGAGTACTCAAGCAAAACTCTTCCAAAAGGCAGGTGAAGTTATGGAGTGGCATGTTACCTTGTGCCTCCCAGCACAAAGATGAGGGGTGCCAACAGTTTATTTGGCAGGGCCTGGTGCCTCAGCACAGGTACGTGCACATCCATTGTGGAGCAGCAGAACAGTGCCACACAGGCGTGATCGTCCCCACATCCATGTCCCTGTTCAGCCCTGCACAGGGAGGCCAGCACCCCACATCCTGCCCGGGTGCAGGCTGGGGATCTACCTGGCTTATCCTGGGCAGGCTCAGCCACCTCCACTTGGCACACGGGACAAGGCACATCAGGTGAGATCAAGAAAGGCAGAATCATGTGCAGCCCACGCCTCCAGCAGTGGCGCAACCCCTCCCTCGCAGTGCTCACTGTAGGGCTGCGTGGCAATGCAATGGGACTGCGTCCCACCCGCACCCTCTGAGGGGCGAGGTATCTGCGCTCCAACCTGGGGCACCAAGACTTCCCCACAGCCCTGCTCGGGGCTGTGGGCAGGTAGTGATACGGTGCAGAGCTCATTAGCCTGCCCTCTGCAAGGGCCACTTCTGCACCCATGACTCCAGCAAAGCTGGGCTGCTGCAGAGCTGCAAAGGTCAGGTCCAAGGTTCAGTCTCTCGTATCAGCAGCTGTCAAAGAGGAAAAACTGGGGCAGTGGAATTTCCAATGGCATTGAACGAAAGCCCTGATTAGTAGTGATTACTTTAAAGGCACTGTTGATTTAAGGAAACACAGGTCTGGTGTTATGAAACCCCCATGTGTTCTGCCTGGGTTTGTTCGCAAATATGCCCACAGATCCCCAGAGTTTAGCACATGCACAAATTGTGCTGTTTCCTTGCCTTGCCCCTACACAGGAACAAACTTGATGAAGCCTCTGAGGCAAGAAGAAGCAGCAGCAGCACATTCTTAGGCACATCTTTCAGAGCTGCGGTCCCTGAGTCGATGTGCTAGGGCCAGCACCTCTGCAGGGCAGCACAGGAGGGAGTCACTGCCTTGTCTTTGCAGGAGCTGAAATGTTTACAGCCTACCTCACTCCTAGCACCTTTCCTTCTGCACCTAGCTATCACTGCCCTTCAGCCCCATCCCTGACTGGTGCACTCTCATCTCTCTTCCCAATCCTTCTGCTGACTGAGCCCTTTACTTTCTCTCTCTCTCTCTCTGCTGCTGCAACCTCCAGTACCAATTACCCATCCTTCAGGCATCCCTTTGCTCTGCAGCTTCCCAGCAGCCCCCCAACAGCAATTTGGCCAATCCTCTTCTATAGGAACCGCTGAAAGAAAAACTTTCCCCTGGGTTGATCCAAAGTGATTATTTTTTCCCCATCCTCCAGCTCTCTCTTCCTTTGCTTAACGCTGGGACACTGATCCTCTTGCAGGTTTGCTGGCCCACTCCCCAGAGCATGGCAGGCAGCTGGCACACAACAGCTGGCTGCAGGAGGACCAGAGATACTGGCACTCCCAGCATGGCACACATATCCAGCCAGATCTGCTCAACGAGCAAACACCCAACTCACCTGAACTCAGCACACGTCTCCCCCAGGCAAGCCCGCCCCGTCCCGTCCTGTCCCACTGGAGTCCAGGAAGGGAATCCACTGACTATCAAAGAGAGACAGCAAGAGTTAAGGCAAAGATTCCCCTTTCTCCTCCTCTAGTCCCTCCCCCTCCACCAGCTCCCCCCACCAAACTATCACCCAGCTCACGTGTGGGTGTTAAGATGGCAGGAAGGGAGGTGTACTAGGGAGGGAGAACTTTCTCCCCAGCTCCCTTACAACATACACCTCTCCAGACGTTGACCTGTGGCCCTGGTGGGAAAGCAAGAAAAGAAAGCAGCCACAATCGGGCAGGTTAAAGGATCAAAGTTTGCAAAGATCAATGGCAGCAGTCAGTGGAGAGGTCCCCCCAATCTCAGCAGGAGGGACCTCTCCCTTTGCAGACCCTGCAGCATGGCCCAGGCTGGCTGCCACTCATCCCCACTGCTTTGGGGTTCACCAGTGGGATAGTGGCATCCCTTCAAATTGTCCTGCAAATGTGCAGAATGAATCACCTCCACCTCTGGGCACCACTACACTAAAGCTGCTTCAGCAGCCAAGTTCCCCAGCACTGTCAGGCAGATGGAGGAACAGGCAGAGATCGGGTGGAGCGGAGACGCTTGTCCCGGGCTCCTGCAGACCCCTCCCTGCCTGTGCCATGCACCGTGAGTGCCAGCAGCTCACAGGAGAG